TTAACGGAAGAAAAAGAAAGGAGAAAAGAATACCGAAATGGATCGGCCAAGGGATGGCCGATTCCGGCGACGGGGCGGCGCCAACGGCGGAGGTGGCCGCGCGGGAGAGGGGGCGAGAGAGAGAGGTGGACGGCCGCTAGGGTTAGGGTTTGTTGTGTGTGTGCAAGGTCTATAAATCATGTATTTATAGTCCCTTGCATAAAACTCTAGCGGGCTTAAGTTGGACTGGGCCCAACAACTTAAGTCCTCTAGTACTTTCTCTTGCTCGTCTCTCTTAATTCAATGACCGAAAAATTGCAACGATTACATTTTCCGAATCATTATAATTCCCTCGTCATTACGAGTGCCATCTTTCATTTTCCAACTTTCCAAAAGTGGAAACCCTAGTTCAGTGCACTTTCTAAATTTGGAAACTTCCCGATTTAGAAAGTTCACTAACACGTTCGCCTATTCTTTTCCTTTTCTTATTCTCATTCATAATTCCAAATTACGAATGTTGGACTCAATCATATTGACTTCCAATCATGCAAAGATAAACTATTTTATCTCTGACCGTTTATTCAAAGATCTCATGTGCACGAGCAGTGTGACCCTCGATGGTTCAGGTGTAAGCTAGCCGTGGGCCCACAACCCTTTGTGGTCAAAACTCGTCCCCTTCGAGTTACGATTAAGATGAAGCTCGTTTCACCTTAATCACCCAACGAATCAAGATTGGCGTCTAGCAACTACGCGTCATGATTCCCTAGATACAAATGAAGTGCCTGCAAGAACCTTCAGATATAGTTAACGTACAGTACGGTCCCTTCGATACATATGTCCCGATCGAACTAGAGGCATTGGTTCATCGAGACCTCTCTATATGTTCGATGACGGTGCGATCGTTCTAAGTGTTGTAATCCTTACGTGCATGACTTAGAGAATCAAATTCTCTAATCATCACTTAGTCAGCTCTGGCCAGAGACTTAGAATGATTACAAACTTTCAGAACACACAGGACATCCAAGACTATTCTAGCGATCGAATCCCCGACTACAATGCACAGACCTCCCACTAGATTTCGGACTACACGAACACTGGCCCTTGGGATGGTCCTCGGTGGAACTCAGGGACAGGTCACGATACAGCTGGTCCTCTAGTGAAGTCACGGTGATGTCTAGGTCATAAGGACTAATGGTGTACAACTATACCATAGATATCTCTACTCGATTATTGAGAACCACTTAGAGATTTCTAGGGTGAGGGAGTTCAGTGAACTCGTCAACTTACGAGCACCCACTTATGCATGCCGATATCACAATACCGTATACTGATGAGATGCAGTACACATACACTAAGTGCTAGTCTTAATGGGAAAGGCCGATATCCTCATTAGTGGCGTAACCCTTCGACTAGGAACACGTTTAACAGTTATAATACTTAAGTAAATATCTCATGATCCTAACGATCAATTACTAGTACTTGTAATAACTGTAAGGACTATATCTATGCTTGTGACAAATGGACAAAGATATAGAATGCCAAGGTGTTTTATCATTAATACGAATAAAGGTTCGTTTATTACAATAATAAATACGAAAGACCACAGCCACAGGTTGGCTTGTTGGTCACCTACTCTAACAGATAGCTGCCACCCTTTATATGAAATTTAACAAATGATACATCAGCTGCAGGTTAAGCTTCAAACCGAATGTGCGAAGAAATTTTTAAGACAGAAAATTTAGACCACAGAATACATAAAAGCTTCAATTAATTTCAAATTTGTGAAAGTTTCAAATTAAGTTCAATTGAGTCCCTGGTACTTTCAATTTCACCCCCTTGTGATATTTTCAGGCGAAAAGACGAAAAAACCCTTGTACTTTCGCATGTGCATCGCGCGTGCGTTGAAAAATGAGAATATTCGCCGGAATATTCCCCTTAGGTGGTTATGTGCGTCAAAAAACTGAGTTTGGGTGGGCACTTGCAACTTTTTTTAGTTAAGGTGGTAAAGTGCAAAAACGGGCAAAGTCCAGGTGGCGAAATGCTATTAACCCATATATATATATATATATATATATATATATATATATATATATATATATATATATATATATATATATTACGTGGGAAATTTTGGTATAAATATTTTTTTTCTCCAAAACATCTAATCGCTTAGGCTATGTTTGGTAAGTTTTTGGGCTTCCGTTTCCATTTTAAGATATTTTGGGAGAAGAATTTGAAAATAAAACAAAGTTTGTTTGTGTTTTGAGACAATTTTTACTGTATCAAGTCAGGTGTTGGAAAAAAGGTATTTTTTGTAAGAAGAATTTGATAGATAAAGTGATTTTAATTTGTATTTTAGTGATGACAATTTTCACTGTAGCAGTCAAATCATGTTTGATAGAAAGAGAAATATTTGAGTTTTTTTTTGGGAAAGTTTTTGAAAATAGTTTAGAAAGATAATTTTATTTTAGATTTTTTTTAATTTTCTGAATAAATCCTTTTATTTTTGTCATTTTGAGTTTTTCATTTTTTATCTTAAATGTCTTCCTGTGGTTCAAACATCCTAAGATTACAAACATCTTTACAATCCTATGATTGTTGAGAATTTGAACTACCGAAAGACATTTAAGAAAAAAATGAAAGCAATTCAAAATGACAAAAATAAAAGGTTTTATTAAGAAAAAAAAATTATATGTAATTAAATGTTTTGGGAAAAAAAAATCAAAATTTCCCAAGTAAAATTGACCGAAAATTTTAAAAAATATAGTGGAAAATGGCTCAAACGAAATCTTATATTTATACGGCTTAGGATGAGTATTTTCGTCAGATTTTGGAAAAAATATAACAATATGGGGTCTTTTGTATTTATGCAGTACAAGGAGTATATGATACAAAGTGCATAGTACAGGGGTATTTTTGTATTTAACCCTTAATTGTTTTTCTATAGGGATAGTGTTTGCAAATTCACTCTTAAAACATATAACAAAAATAAACATAAAAATTAGGGTAAAATTCATTTTACACTGTGTACTATGCGGAATGTATCATTCCCCCGTGAAGTATAGAAAACATCAAACACCCCCGCGGTTAGCCTTTTTCCTACTTCCCGTTAGTCAAATCCTTTGACAATCTATTGCAAAGAAATATTGGCTTTTTTTTTGACGAAAATACCCTAAAATATTTCTATAAATAGGTTGCTTAGTTTTGATGAATGTTCACCAGGTTCTTCACTTTTTCACCATTTTTTCCACTTTATTCAGTCATTTTTTTTTTACTATTTTCAGCCATTTTTCTTATAAAAAAAATTTGGAAAGTCGAATAAATAAGAAGCTTTGCATATTATGAACGTAAAACCCACAAAAAAGATAATTAAAAGCCCTGAAATCTAAAAGAAATCCTAAACTTGGAATAAAACCATATGAAAGAAAATCCCCGAAAAAGAAAATTGAAAATACCTAAAATCAAATACTAAAATCGACAAAAAGCCATAATTTGAACGAACACTAAAAACCATCAACAATCCACAAAAAAATACGCCTTGCAGACTCAAATTTAACACCGTTAAAAGTCTTACCATTGACCGTTAAAAATATGGGGTGTTTTCTATACATCAGGGGAGTAAATGATACCTTTCACATAGTATAGGACTGCAAAGTGAATTTTACCCTAAATATTATATTCATTTCTAGCGCCAAAATAATTTTACATTTCAATTTAGCCCTGAAATGGTATTTTTCTGTAAGATGTTAACTCCCAACCAACAAAGTGGACCAAATGTGTCTAAAAATGGTAAATCCAGTGTATATTTTGTCCACGTTTGAACATGAAAGACCAAAAGTGAAATTCGGGCAAATGTAAGGAACCAAATTTGTAATTCTCCCCTCTCTCTCCACTCTCTTCGCAATTCCACCTTTTTTTTCTGTTTTCTGCTTATGTCGATGAAGGGCGGAACTTATAACGGGCAGGGGGCTGTTGTCCCCCAAAGATTAAAAAGATTTTTTTTAGGTATTCTGGCATTTTATTTTTTGAATATTACTTTTGGCCCCTAAAATTTTTGTAAATACGTGTCTTAACCCTTAATTTTTCCGTTTCTTCTCCACAATCTTATATAAATTATACTAGTAGACATCATATTTAATATAAAAATATTTTATAAAAAGGTTAAAATTTGTATTATTTTATATAATATTTATGAATATTTACTTATTTTGGAATTTTTTTATCAGTGCTCTTAAAAATAATATGAGATTATGCCATTAATCTCCAAAATTTTTAAGTGCAATACATTAAGATTTTTTTTTCATGCTTAAAATATGATAAAACTATAATATATATGCTATTTTAATTAAAAAATTATCAATATAAACTTATTTTTGCTATGTCTTGTGAACCTAAATTTTTTTTTCGAGGCGCTGCCCCGTACCCCAAAATTTTAGTTAGCCCCTCCTGTATTTTGATCCTGGTTCCGCCCCTGATGTCGATGATGGTCCGTTTCAGTACACGGATTTGAGTTCTGACTCAATATATACACATCATTTGCAAGTGTTTTTTGCTTCAGAATAGTATGTATATATATATACTTTTTTTGGTTTTCTACAGCTGTTGTTGCATTTCTGTAATTGTTTTCTCCATTATTGGTATTCATTGATGCTGTTTCATTCGTCCAGCCTGTATGCCTTTATTTAACTAATTTTTTCTTCATATATTTTCAAAAACAGGTGCGTACATGTAATGTGAACTGATTCAATAAAATGATTATGCTAATTCTTTGGGGCTGGTGTTGGTCACACGATAGATGTAAACTTGCAATTTCTGCTATGTGTTGCCAGTGTGTTGTTTCCACGATCTTTGTCGAGACTCGATCCTCTATCTATTTCTTTTGATAATTTTTTGATAGAGAAGGTGTCAAAAGGAGACCAAAAACACAAATGGTGCAAATTTGCTTGGTACTTGGTAGTTTATTTTCTTACTTTTTATTTTGTTCATGTTGTTATCTTTGGAACGGTTGATTTCTTACATAACTAATTTATTGATATGCATAGTGAGCAATAACTGTGTTAATATTGTGAAAAAGACTAATTATGAATAATCAATAAATTAGTAATTAGTATGTATTAAATACTAAGGAAATGTCAATTGTTGAGAATTGGTAATATTTGACATAATTATGTTGACTTGTTAAAAAATTCACAAGTAGGCTATTGCTAAACATTAATAAGTTGTTTGTTTAAGAAGCCAAAGCAGAATCACATATGCATCCAAACACTTCAAAACTCTTATAGAGTATATTGTCCAAAATCAAAGTTAATGGCGATTCAATTGTCTCTGGAAACACTTCGTGATTTGCTGATTGAAGAAGGCAGGTTTTTATACGGTGTAAGCGATGAAGTTAAGAAAGTCGAGAGGGATCTCAAAACCATCCATTGCATCTTGATGGATGCTGACAAATGGCGAGACAGACACAAGGCTGCAATCTTAGGTGATTGGATCGATGAGCTCGATGAACTGGCTTCAAGAGCTGAGTATGTGCTCGAAAGATATGCTATTGAAGTCACATCCAGAAGAGGTGGAAACCTGATGAAAAAGTTGAAAAGGTTCGGTTGCATATTCGGCGAGTGCTTAACAAGCCATGAGGTTGGAGAGGAGATTGAAGCCATTAGATCCAGCCTGACCATTCTGACGGGGAGGTTGCAAACAATAGTCCCCGGTGGGAGATCCTCGAATCCAACGGACGATCACCAACATTACTCGAGACTAGCTTTCGAGCACGACTCTGAACAACATTTTGTTGGTATGGAGAAGGACATAGCGTCTCTGGTTTCACTGGTGAAGAATAAACAGATTCCCATGATTGCAATTTATGGAATGGGAGGCCTTGGGAAGACCACTCTTGCCAGGAAAATTTACCATCACAAGAAGGTGGTACCTTGTTTCGAAGCTCGTGCCTGGGTTTGCAGTACACAACAGTTTCAACCCAAGATTGTTTTAAGCCAAATTCTGAAGCAACTTCTTCTTGATGAAGAGAATGAACGGATCAACGACATGGAACTCGCTGAGGTGGTGGTGAAACTTCATAATTTTCTGATGCAGAAGAGATGCCTCATTGTGATTGATGATATCTGGGAGACCGGTCACTGGAACATCTTGGAGCCAGCTTTTCCGAAAGCGGGTGATAAATGTAAGGTTATACTTACCACTCGCAACAGAGAAGTTTCTCCGCGAAAATTTTGTCTTTACGAACTCCGTTTTCTGGCTGAAGATGAAGGTTGGGAGTTACTTCAGAAACTAGCATTTACCACTACCAGAGGTCAGTTTCTGCCATCCGACCTCGAACATTATTTATTTTGTATTTGATATCTTGCATTATTGCTTAATTTTTTGCATTCATCGACATATCTGTTTTCATCCTACTGTTGAAAACACTTATATTAGAAACACTAGAATATATTTTCAGTCAAGTTTGATATTAGTAGAAGCTACAGCCTACATGTGTAAATTTAAGTCGAATAAATTTTAGTTAGAGTAAACTGCAAAATGTACCCCCGTGTAATCTCCAAATAGCAAAAACCCCCCTGTGATAAATAAACTAGCAAAAACCCCCCTATGAAATTTAGTCAAAGGCAAAAACCCCCCCGGTTGACTTAAGTGTGGCTCACTCGCGGGTTGCGCGACTGGTGGTAGGTTTTTGGACGTGAAATGACGAAATTGACCCTAAAAATGTATTTATATGTATATATATTATATGTATATATATATATATATATATATATATATATATATATATATATATATATATATATTATCCTTTTAATTTGATTGTTTAGAAATTAAAATATTGTTAAAACATAGTAAATAATTAAATTTAAAAATTATTAAATAAAATTAATCAAATTAAGTATAGATTTTTTTTAAATACATAATTATGGAATTTAAATTTTCTTTTGATGTAGCAATAATTTAAAATATATACAAAAATTATGTGATAATAAAAATAAAAATAAATTAAAGACCCCATTGTACCTTTATAACTAAGATATAACAAAAATAAAATAATAAAATATTTAAAAAATATAAGAATTTATTAATTGCAAAATTCCGGGGGTATTTGTGTCTTTTTATATGAAGTCAACAATCAAATGATAAATGGGCCGAGTGTGCTATTTAAATAATTTCACAGGGGGGTTTTTGCTAGTTTATTTATCATAGGGGGTTTTCATTATTTAGAGATTACACAGGGGTACTTTTTGCAGTTTACTCATTTTAGTTAGTTAACAACATTTATGGGGGGTTCGTGTACTTAATAGAAATATTCTATTGAAAGAAAACATAATTTGATATCCGTATCTACTTTTCATTTACTAAATATTCATTATACATGGCCAAATGACAAATAAGTCTATGACAAGGGACTTAAATGCACATAGGTCCAGACAAAAAACAGTCTCGCAAATAAACTCATTCCCATGTCATTAATGCCCCTCATAATATAATTTTCATCAATTCCATCGAGATATTATTTTAGTTTTTTTTTAGAAAATAATTTTCTGAAGCTTTTCTTCCAGCCAAATTCCAGTGTTGACCGCGCGGTTCTCTGGCGTTGATTTTGTTTTCTCTTTTTCCTTTTCTTTTTTAATTTTTTTTCTCTCTAAATTATTGTCTGAGAGAGTAATATTGAATGCGAAAACTGTAATATTTCTAATATTAATGTCCCAAATAGTAATATTAATGCACGAGACAGTAATATTACGTTCGGAGACGGCAAAATTGCAGACCAAGACAATAAAATTAATTAATATCGTTAAATTACTTTCCCAGACAATAATATTACTGTCTCCGAGACAGTAGTATTGCATGCCAAGACAATAATATTAATGAAAATAATTGGTTTCAAGAAAAAAGAAAAGGTCAACACCGGATACCAGCAATCTCCGGCGGTGGCGGTCAAAATTGGGGTCAAAATTGGAATAATGGTCAAAATTGGTTTAATTGTGCTAAATTATGGTGTAAATCATGAAAATGATGTTGAATTAGAGTTTCAAGGAGTAGGGGGTAATTTGGTATATATAAAAGAGTTTTCCTTATTTGCAAATAAATTTGAATGAGGTGGATTTATTTTCCCCATGGGAAAGCGGGTCCGGGTCCGGGGCGGGTCCACCTGGGTCCACCTGGGTCCGGGTCCAAACTGATTTTCCAATTTTTTTTTCTTTTTTTTTCCAAATAATTACAAGAAAGAAAAAAAAACTTAAATTGAAACTTGTAAAAACTTGAGATTAAATTTAAATTCAAAATAACAAAAAAAAAAAAAAAAGAAAGTTGAATTTAAACACTAAACAATTGTAGAAAAAAATGAAACGATTCAGACTTTGAGACATAAACTAAATAAAATGAAAGCTGTGAAGATTGGATTAGGGGTATTTATAAGTGAAAATAATAATTGAGAAATTTTTCAAAATTTCAAAATTTAAAAAAAATCAAAATTCAATCTTTCTTTTAAATTAAACCGTAATATTTTATATTTATCAAAATTAAATATATATGCATTTGTTATTAGTAAAAAAATTTAATATTAATAATAGTGAACATGACAATTAATAATTCATTAACATTAGTTATACAATTATTATAATCAATTTACAGTGTTATTTATATTTATATATTTATAGTTAGGATTAGTATTACAATAAGTAACTTTGCTTGAGTGGTTAGCACTCTACTAAATCACTTGGGCCACCCAGCTTCAAACCCCCAAACTTCTCATTTTTTGTGATTATTTCACATAAAATCCGGGTTGACCCGTCGGGTCTCGGGTCCAAATAATTGGGACCCGAAACCGTCCCGTATTTGGTCGGGTCCATGGTCAACGGGGCCGGAGTGGATCGGGGCGGTCCATGGTCAACGGGGCCGGAGTGTATGGGGGCGGTCTCCGGGCCGGGTCCGGGTCAAACCCGGCCCGTTGCCGTGTCTAGCGCCGACGGGTGAAAGTGTATTATATTTTTATAAAGTAACTAGATTTTTGGCCCGTGCGATGCACGTGGTAGAAGTAAAATTAACACAAAGTAAAGTTCAATTTAAACGACAAAATAGAGATTTTAATTCATTTTGATGTTTTGCTATATGTATTAATGATAAATCCCTATCTATAAATGTTTCCCATATTTATTAGTTTATATTTATATTTTTAATGTTATATGGGCTGTATATTTTTACCTTATCTCAGTTAAGATATAAGTCTGACAAACCTTCTTCTTTATCATCCATAACAAGCATCAATAAATTATAAATTAATGATGCCATTAAATCTCAAGGAATGCCGATGAAATTGGGCTCAAATTTATATAAAGACGTTACATCCATAAATATAATTAGCACAATAGATAATTTAGCAAATAAATGACAATTATAACTATCAAATGAACGGGAAATTTTCCGAAGGTTTATGAGGAGCTACCTTACTTTCATTAATAAGATTATGGTGGGTTCTTAAACTTTAAATATTCTGTTTTATTTTTGTTTATTAAAATTCTTAATAATATTTATAATTTTTTAAGGGATTTTTAGGAATTGGAAAAAATCATAAGACGTTTTGTATAACTCATTTGTAATCGTTGTCGAAGGGCATTTGTATTATTTCCCTTAAAAATCACAATGAGAGTCACGAACTCCGTGAACGAGTTAAAACGATGAGCTTTAAGGAGTCTATACGTCTTTAATTTTTGGTTATACATAAATTTATACTATTTAAAATAACATAATAAATTGTTTGGCAATTTAAATAAATATGTTTGGATTCTAACCTTGAATATCTTCATGTTCTTATTGAGATGTCTTAAACTATGTAACTAGCTGTCTTGGTCTTCCATCATGCAGAGCGGCCTGAAACTGAACAAAATTTAGAGGATGTCTCTTTCTATAGTGCCAAGTTTGAGATTGAAGAAAGCCTACCCGAAGTGTTTCACAATGCCGAGCCCGAAACGGAACAAAATTTAGAGGATGTCTATTTCTATAGTGCCAAGCTTGAGATTGAAGAAAGACTACCCGAAGTGTATCACAATGCCGAGCCCAAAACGGAACAAAGTCCACTAGAAGCTATTGGAAGACAAATGGTCCAAAAATGTGGCGGTCTACCTCTAGCAATTACAGTTCTTGGAGGGATTTTGTGCGAAAAACTAACATCGAGCGAGTGGAAGAGGGTGAGCGAAGACGTTGATTTATATTTGAAGCGTGGGGATGAAAAAGTGAAGCAAGTACTGGACTTGAGCTACGATGCCTTACCTTACTATTTGAAGCCGTGCTTCCTCTATTTAGGATGTTTCCCCGAGGATCAAGAAATAGATACAGAAAGATTGTATTTATTGTGGATGGCAGAAGGCCTTATTTCTTCTGAAGAAAAAGGAAGAAAAGAAACTTTGAGGGACGTGGCTGAACGTTATTTGAATGAACTAGCATCTCGATGTATGGTTCAAGTACGAAAGCATGAGTATTGTTCCAGTGCGTATAATACATTCAAATCATGTCGCCTTCATGATCTGATCCGTGATCTTTGTTTGTCAAAGGGAAAGGAAAAAGGTTTTCTCAAGCTCATTGATCAAACAAATTATGCTCCTATCCATGTTGCGAGCAGATTAGCCATTCATTGTGATGGAGCTGCACGCGTGGATAATAACTATTTTAACAAGGGAGAAGAAACGAACCTGAGATCTTTTCTATTCCTCTGTAAAGGATGGCGCCGTAGATCGCTAGTGATTGGTTCTAAAGGCAGTGCAATCGATTTCAACAAGTTGAAACGTCTCAGGATTCTTGCTCTGGAAAATGGTGAATTTATATTATCTAGCGAGGTAGGTAATCTAATCCATCTGAGATACTTGAGTTTGTACAAGAGTTGTGTGGAAGAGCTACCATTGTCGGTTTTCAACTTGCCGTATCTGCAGACGTTGGATTTGAGAACGACAATGCAAATAAAGGTGCCGAATGTGATTTGTAAGATGAAAAGATTGAAGCATCTGCTTCTCAAAGGGATACAAGTCGTTGGAGAATATGGAGACCAACTGATTCTGGATGGGTTGGAGGAGTCGTTGGAGACCTTACGAGATGAGTCGCATCCTTCATGTGTTCGGTTTGCGGACATCCCCAAATTAACAAATTTGGTAAATCTGAAAATTGAAGTTGGCAGTAATGTTGAACTCTCAATCATTGCCCAACGCATGAGCTGCAGAAATACCCAACTACGCGAGTCACATCTTTCTATTTCGAATTGCGACTTCAATCCAGAGAGAGGATCGAACTATACGAATTTAAGGAAGATGTTGATGTCTCCCTCACTCGCCACTCTCAAACTCAACAACTCTACATGTATCAGTTTGCCACGCTATCAACAATGGATGTGTGCAAATTTGATCGACTTTTCACTTTACGAGGGTGGTACCATTGAGGGTGATTCTTTAATGAGAATATTGGGAAAGTTTCCCTTGTTAAAAAGGCTTAGCTTGTCCCAGTTAAAATTCACCAAAGCAGAAATAAGGTGCCTTGCAACTTCATTTCCACAACTCAAGTTTCTTAACCTCCATTGCTTATCCAATTTAGAGAGATGGGTGGTGGATAAAGGAGCGATGCCCAATCTTTCTCGTTTGCAGATTAGTTTGTGCGAGAGATTAGAGATGATTCCTCATGGATTGAGATATATCACTTCCCTCCAAGAATTAAATTCTGTGTTTATGCCCAAAGAGTTCAACGACAGATTACGAGTGGTCAACGGTGAACCAAGAGAAGATTATCGCAAAGTTTGTCACGTACCATCTATTACACTCTATGACGACTCTAGAATGAAAGTCGGTTCCATTAAACAAAACAAGTATCACACAAAATTTCCAGTAAGGGCGCCACACAGTTTTTATACTGAATGCAACAATGATGACTCGAACCGCGAACAGGACGAGCCCCGACGCAGCGAACAGTACGAGCGCGAACGCAGGGTTTCCCCACCGGTTGCCGAGAGCCCTAAGATGTAAGGGGCACCAAGTTTTTTTTCTTCTTTGTTTATTTGTATATTTGTGTATTTATGAGGTTGTGGTTGTTTTGCTTTTGGGTGATGGTTTTATTGCACTTCCAAGTTATGTCAATTGCTTTGGCAAAATAGAAGGTTCTATTCCGGGATAATTACATTTTTCGTCCCTATACTTGCCACCTAAAACAATTTTAGTCCTCAAACTTTCGCGATCACGAATGTAGTCTTCAAAATTATCATTTTTTAACACTTTTGGTTTGGCCGTCAACTTCTCCAGTTAACTTGAATGGAATTGCACGTCGCGACCATGTGATAGTCAAAATCAAGTTGGAAAATGAGTTGGACGACATCTCATTGTCTCTCTCTATCTCTCTCATAAATTTAACTGACATGTGCAGTATGCCATTGGTTCAACAATTAGTTATACTGTCAAGCACCATAGTAATTGGTGGAAGCTCAAAAAATCTGTGGTATTTATTTCTTCTGGGTATCGAAAAGCAATTAAAATATGTAAATGAGCAGGTATCTGCTCTTAATTTTTTTGATTTCTCAAATCCCACCTAAAGAGAACATCAAAACAAACACTTTCTCCCACTGCCCCTACTCTGATTGAGGCAAAGTGTATTCGATACACGGAAAATCAAAACGCAATCCTTCTTCGGTCTTTAAGTCAACAAACCATCATCTACTGAAGTTTATGGATTACTTAATTTTGTGACAAATTGAGTTGCAATAAGGGAACAAAAAAGTCGCCCTAAAATCGAAGGTTCGCGGACAAAATTCGGGGAAGAGATTTGGAACTTGAAGATGGAAATTTGGGGGATTTCTGATATATGAGAGGGATGGAGAAAGATCATGAGGTGTCGTCCAACTCGTCTTCCAACTTAATTTTGACTGCCACATGGTCGCCACGTGCAGTGCATGTGACAATTCCATCCAACTTAAAGTGCATCTGACAATTCCATCCAACTTAACTGGGGAAGTTGATGGTCAAACCAAAAGTGTTAAAAATGGTAAGTTTAAGGACTAAATTCGTGGCAGCAAAAGATTGAGGACTAAAATCGTTTTAGGTGACAAATATAGGGACGAAAACTGTAATTATCCCGTTCTATTCCTATCTCTCTCCTCCACGTGAACCTTGTTTTGGACATAGACGGTGTTTGCAAATGCTTATGTAAAACTGAAATGCTAAATGCAGTGGAACTGTCACTGAAATTAGCTTATTTGCATCGGTAGTCTCATTTCTCATTTTTTCTAACTTTCTAAAAAAATCGAAACCCTCTCATCTAATAAAATTCGAAATATTTGAATATGTAGGTTGTTTGACAAATTTGCCACCGAGCAACAACAACCACTTCAATGACCGATCCGGATTACAATTACGAGTACACATTTTTGCTAGTTTACTTATAAAAGGGTGTTTTCGCTATTTGTAGTTTACTAGTACTATTTTTAATAAAAAAAATATAATTATGTATTTACTTTTTATTCTTTTATTAATACCTTTAAAAAATAAAATGGAACGGTGTTTTGAACTACTTAAATAATTAAATGCAATACATTATTGGAATGATTTGGATTAATTTTTTTTTTTTGGATGCTTGAAATTTGACAAGATTATAATATGTACTATTTGAATTAAAATTTAACAATATAAACTTCTTTTTGCAGTGTTTTGTGAACATAAATTTTTTTTCGGGGCGCTGCTCGAATCCCGAAAATTTAACCCGCCCCCCTAACTTTTCATGTGTTGCATGTGTTTAGTTATTTATTTTTTTATATTGACTTTGATATATTTATTCTAATACAAATGTAAATTATATAAATATCTTAAGTAAATAGTATAAATTCAATAGGAGATGTAAGTTTAAAGGTTTCAATTGTCCTACAAAATAACCTTTACATGTAAGATTTCATGGAGAAAAATGCCATTTGACTAATATAATTTGATAATATTAATAACTAATAATGACTCGTTTTTATGTATTTCATTGTACGTGTTATAGCACATATAACAAAAAAAACTTACACCATTAATTTAAAGTTCAATATTCATGTAATGTTAAAATTGAGGGAAAATTACAGTTTATGTCCCTAAACTTTACCACTAAAACGATTTGTGTCCTCAAACATTTCAATCCACGAAATATGTCCTCCAACTTGCCACTTTTGATCACTTTATGTTCTGCCGTTAAGGTCGGCAGCTAACTTCGACGGAAATAGCACGCGTGGCTCACGTGACGTCTATATGGCCGTTAAATGTGATGTGGAATAATATATTGAATATTAAATGTTGATGTGGCACAAGAATATACTAATTTCCTCTAACTCACTCTCCCAAATCCCAAATCCCACGTTTCATTCCCATTCCCAAATTTTCAATCCAATCTGCATTCTTGCTCGAACCCATACTAAAATCGAAGTCATAAACCCATAAAAAATCCAAACATTCTCACATTTGAAGAGTTTTTCCATTTTCAAAGAACAACAGATTCACGTGCAAACACATGCCTGCAATCGAGAGGAAGAAGGTAAACGCGACTCCTCTTCTGGTTCTGAAAAAGATTTTAGAGGAAGCTTTAATTCTTCTCCCAACTCCGTCTCTAGAATGTTGGGGTCGTGTGATTCTTCGCCTGCTGATGCTTTTGCCCCTTGTGGTCTCGATGAAGCGAGCACAAGGATGGTGAAGATGGCACAAATTCTACCCAACTCAGCAGTTCCAGATGCTGCCCAGAAGGTGTTCGACAAAATGTCCGAACCAATTCCGGAAAAAAAAACATGCAGCACCTGTCAAAGCTGCATATAATTCTTTTCTTCGCCAAGAATAGAGTGCCCAAGAACGGATTCCAGCTCCCCGACTTCCCCAATGAAGTGGAAGAAGACATGATATTTCAGCCCGACGTTGAAAGTGAAATCGAGGAAACATTCGGCATTTGTTTATTGGGCTATTTGCTGGTAAAACACCACGAAAAATGGCCATGGATTCACAGACGATTCTGATATTTTAAACTTTCACCTCAAGTGAAGGATTCAAAATGGGGTTTTAGGGATTGGATTTACGGGTTCATTGGGGATATGGAGAATTAGGGATTTTAGAGTAGAAATAGGGGAGGAGAATGACGTGTCGCTCCACATCACGTTTCGTCGACCAAGTAGGCACTGGGTGTTGTACAGCTCGACATTTAACGGCCACATAGACGTCACGTGAGCCACGCGTGCTATTTCCGTCGAAGTTAGCTGCCGACGTTAACGGCATAACATAAAGTGATCAAAAGTGGCAAGTTTGAGGACATATTTCGTAGATTGAAATGTTTGAGGACATAAATTGTTTTAGTGGTAAAGTTTAGGGACATAAACTGTAATTTTCCCTTAAAATTGACATATAATTTTAATCTATGTATCTATTCTATCTATCTATCTATAAAAGGATGAATGGTATTTGAGTTTCTTCCATTTTATGTGAGGACCAAAAAATCCTTTACAAATAGATTACAAAATAGGGACTATTAGTCATAACCTCCTCTAGTGTTTTTTTAATAATGGGGGATCCAGCCATATTTTCAATATTGGTAGGAAACCCACTATTTTAATTAATCCCGAAAATAGCCTTTTTGGAGCCACGTTATGTCTAATAAAAAATCCCTAAAAATCTGGAAAATAAACTGCTAAACGTGTGTGATTTTATCCCCAAATCTCGCTCTTCCTAATCTTTCCATAACTCCCACTGCAAAACCTAATTCTGCTAAACAACTACGCCGGCGACAAAACCTATGGGTAGAGAAATTGAATCGCTGCCAAATTCTTAAACTCACTCACCCACCATAATCTGCGATACAACCACGCTGTTCCGTTCCCTGGGTAAAAAAAAAAAAAAAAAAAAAAAAGAGCGACGAAACTCCCAAAAAGTGAAATTCTTGAAGCTATGAACACAGCGCAATCGAGAAATAAAGCAACGCCTGGGAGCAGTAAGTATCCCCTGAAATAGTCTTGTTTACTCATATCCTCTTTTCGATTATATCAAAAAACACAGCCTACAAATGTGTTTTTTTTACATTTTATTTTTGTGAACAGGAGAACGCAGGACGAAAGCATTGAACGACATTCGGCTAACCGACGCAGGTAATTATTTTGAATTCCTGCTATAATTTGTGTGATTTGTTTGTATGACTTGAATCCGGGCTTTTAACAGACTATTTAGGTAATAATGCAGTAGTTTTACATGACAATCTGTAAATAGACTATTCTGCGTAGATATAAATCGACTATTTTGTATATTAACTTTTTTTTTGAAAATAAGCCAATCTCCATGCCATTGTGATTCCAAATAGTATTTTTGCTTCGGTGTCTTGAATGATGTGTAATTATTATTGAACTGTAAATAGACTATTCTGCCTAGATATAAATTGACTATTTTGTGAATAGACTTTTTTTTTGAAAATAAGACAATCTCCATGCCATTGTGATTCCAAATAGTCTATTTGTTTGGCTGTCTTGAAGGATGTGGAATTATTATTGAACTGTAAATAGACTAATAGGTAAATAGACGTTTTTGTTTAAAATAGTTCAATCTGCAAGTGTTGGTTTTGTGAAATTGTATTTTGCAAATCTGTTTTTCTATATTACATTTGTACTTTTCTGTAAATTGAATATTCTGTAAATTGACTATTTTGTGAATAGATTTTTTTGTTTAGAATAGTTGAATCAACAAGTTTAGGTTTTGTGAAAATGTGTTTTCCAAAACTGTTTTTCTAAAAGTTGCCTAGTTTGATAATTTAATTAATGTTATTTTTAATTTGTGTAACAGAGGGTACTAAAAGGATGTGTAATTTATATCTAGGCAGAATAGTCTATTTGTGAATAGACTTTTTTTTTTTGAAAATAAGACAATCTCCATGCCATTGTGATTCCAAATAGTCTATTTGTTTGGCTGTCTTGAAGGATGTGGAATTATTATTGAAATGTAAATAGACTAATAGGTAAATAGACGTTATTGTTTAAAATAGTTCAATCTGCAAGTGTTGGTGTTGTGAAATTGTATTTTGCAAATCTGTTTTTCTATATTACATTTGTACTTTTCTGTAAATTGACTATTCTGTAAATTGACTATTTTGTGAATATATTTTTTTGTTTAGAATAGTTGAATCAGCAAGTT